CAGTCCATGGGGTCACAAAGGGTCAGACACGACGGAGCAGCTCAACAGTGGCAACATACTGTGCTGAAGTAGGGAACAGCATTTTAAGTGGAAAAAGCTGATTAAAAACATAGGAACACCGATTAAAGATATGAAAAAGGGAAGTTGATATACATGTTCACCAATTTAACAAAATTTAAAGTGGCATCTTAATATTTTAATTGTTTCTTCTTTTAGGAACTGCTTGACAACACAGTCAAACTGATTCAAGAGCTAAGATGCAAGTGGGGTTTCTGATTCAATTAGCTAAGATGCAAGTGGGGTTTCTGATCCAATTGTGGAGAGGCTGGGTTCCATATACTTGGTGGAAATTTCAAGAGGCTCATCCTATATTTTGGTTTTGCAGGCCTAGCCTTAAAAAAAACAAAACAAAACAAAACCACTGCTTGGTTTGAATCTTCAAAGCAGTTGTGAAGACTCAAGTGGGAATTAGTTCACATTGTAAGTGCGGGCCACAGCAGCACAACTTGGTGAAATAAATCCGTGAGAAGTTTCCAAATATGAATCACATATGTGGGGAAGAATCCGGCCCACAGACATTCTTTAATTAAATGCCCGTCTAATAAAATGTTGTCAATGGCATACAGATGACTGGTAAAGGAGCCAGGGCAACCGGGTGTTGAGTTCTGGAACTCATTAGGTGCATTTCTTTATGCTATGGGAATTTCTTGCATTTTTATCTTGCCCCGAATGAACAACAACAAAGTACTGCAAACGGGTCTCTAATTTACATATTATGAAATATTACTGAGCGAAAGATATTAATGCAAGGAGGCCATGGAGTAGCCCTGAGTGGCTTGAACATTTCTGTATCTCTATCTGGCTTGTTTTCCATTCGAGGCCTTAAGAAGACATCATTGCATACAGCAGCCACGATGTGAAGACCTGGCTTCCTTGCTGATGCAGGCAACCCCCTCCACTAGCTGCGAAAAACTGGTGGACAGGTCTTGGGAAACCCTTTGGAAATCTGAAAGAATTCACGGGTCTCTCATCTCTGCTGCCCATTCTGTTTCTACTCAAGCCTACCTCTGATCTTCCTGCACTTAGTTCAACTTCATGGATGTGTGTGCCCTTCTCAGACCACACAGGGAGATCGCAAAGGCCAGGGAAGGGCTTGGGGACCAGTCTCGCTGCAGGCAGGGAGCACGGAAGGTGGGAAGGTGGAGGCTGTTGGCTTTCCCGGACAACCTCACCTCAGTGAACTGGCTCACAGAATGCTTAGGCTGACTCCCCCAGCAGTGCAGGCAAGCTCTCCCAGAGGCAACGAGTGAATATTCTGAGCACTTCAGAACACGTGGCTTTTGAACAAACTCTACCCCTTCCCCTGTGTCCCTCCTTTCCTGCAAGCACTGTGAACCACACCAAAATTGCCACTCTCACAAAGATTGGCTGAGACGTGGAAACTGAGTTGCTTGGCTGGGAGAAAACAAACCTGAGAAAAACTCTCCCAGTGGCCCTGAAAGTGCAAAATCTTGTCAAGATAGAACTGGGTACAAAACTGTTGAGCAGTCACTTTTGAAAACACTTTAGATAAAAGGCCACTTCTTCAGACCAAAGCAAAACAAAATAATTACTGGAATATGTTCTGCTTTGGGATTTACATCTGATGATTCACATTCTAAGATGGGTGAGTTCATACCTTTTACTCCTCCATATTGCATGATCAGACTGCTATATAATAAGAGGTGAAAACAAAACTCATTTGAGCAAACCACCTTCACAAATAAACCACAGATCCCAAATGTGACTCTGTTTAACTCACATTTGACTACTTTTTATATAGCAAGTTGACATCTTTTTCTAAGTTCAAAACAGGAAAAAGCAAAATTGGGATATAAACTGCAAAAATCCCACAAGACAAAAAGCAGAAGTTCATCTTACCTAGTATGGACTCTTAACAACCTAAGCCTACACGATTCCCAGTCTCCATGATTTTAATTATTAGTCCACACGAGAATGTAAAAAGAAAATATTGAATCCCAAAGTTCCTAGTGCATTAAGATGCCACAGAGAGTAAAATGCTGAAGTCCAGAAGCCAAGGCTCTGGTTTTAGCTTTGTCATGCGATAGCTATAGGACAACATGAAGTCTCTTACCTTCATCAGAACAAGGTTTCTCAACAACAAATGAAGGTTTAACCTAGGTGACCTCTAAGGTCCCTTCTGGTTTTAAAATTCTGCAACTCTATTAAATATGTAAATCTAAAGCAAGACATGAAGAGACTACTTCAATGAACATCTTTCAAGCTATCCAGTAAGCAATTTGATTCATCAATCATGCACTGAATCAAATGACTAGAAAGATAAAGCCAAAGTGTGTATAAAAATGGATTAAGTTTTCAGAATCTTTAAAACCAATGTCTTGACATTCATGTGGACAGACAGTCACGTGTGAACCACAGGATCTGTCAATATTTTTGCTCGTTCAACACTGCTGCCAAATTCTACTCAGTTTCCTAAACACGCTTAGTTAGCTCTTCCTCATGACAAAGCCACATGATGAGTTTTTATAAGGCCACTGGCAAGGCGACACCCCAGGGATGGATCACTGTTACAACTCTTTCCAGTAGTTTTAGAATCTAAAATTAGGATCTAAAATTTTTGTTCTACAATTTATCTGGGAAAAAAAAAAAAGTACCAAAGACTAAAAAGTACCAAAGAGCAGGCAAAGTACCAAAATACCAAAAAAAAATTTCATTTGTAATGCTTTTGTCATTCAGCAAGCAAGCCAACATTTCAGCTAACACTTTCATCACATTCCACTAGGTTCTAGAAGGCAACAGCATCTGGCCAAGAGACGACCCTGGCCTAGCAAAGCCATCTGGGGAGCCCAAGAGGCACTCCAGACCAGTTATCTCTCAATTTCTGGGGTCAGGGCTCAGGCAACAACCATTTTTAAAATGTCTCAGGTGATTCCAAAGTGCCACTAAGGCTGAGAAGCAATGCAAGTTCAAACCACCTTCCATCTGAAATGCAGGTATACTGGGTGGAAGGCACTAGTACAGGTGGGAAGATTTAAAAAGCAGCCAAACCTCTCACTACTTCCACTTTCTTTTTTCCTGCAGAGAGAACAGCTGGAAGTCACTGATCCGGGGAGAAGACACTGTTCCTGACAGTGTACATGTTCAGAACATGCATAAACATCAACCAAAGGCCATGAGACTGGGAAACAGCTCTTCTCAGCAGAGTGCACTATTCAAAGGCAGGCACTGAGTTTGCTAACTTCCTGACAACAACAGCATGCAGTCTTCGAGCGCTCACTTTCTCCTGCGTCATCACTCCAAAGCATCTCTGTGCTTCACCAAGAGGTTCTGACAGCCAGAGTTACAGCTCCTTCAAGCATCACCAACATTTGACTTACAGAAGCAAACCCAAATCAAACCAGCAATCCCATGCCAACTGTAGTTCACGAGGATTTATATCATTTCATAGAAAGTCTGCAAAGAAGAGAAAGAATTCCACATGCTTCCGATTTAAATATTCATTAGTCTTCACTAAGATTTCAAGCACACTTCCATCTCAACAAGCAACCAACTTACACTGGGCCTTGAGATTTTGTCAATTCCTCACTTTATGAGGCATAGCAAAGCAGTCCTCCTTTTAAAGAAGGGGTTTCCAAGTTAAGCCTGCACCTTTCCTGGGACCTCAATGACACTTTAGTCCCAATACTCAACCAAATGGGAGGATGATCTGTGTACACGATTGAACATACGAAGAAAATTTCCAGGTAAATACAACACACCATACACAGGATCAGATTCATAATAGTATTTCTTCCTTGCCTTCAACCAGAAAGAGAAACAAGCTCTTGGTATGACCAGAGAAACTTGTCATGATACGTGAAGTTTTGTTAGTCTGACAGATTTGAGAAGTCAGGCATGGGCTATCCAAACCTGTCTGCCCAAAACTCCCTATGACAAATGTCAATTACAAATTAACAAGCCGCTAGGACTCATCCTCTCCAGGGGAACCCTCGACTTGCAAGGCCAGGTTCCCAACCTTTGAGGACTGGCCCTCTTGTCTCCTCATTCATCCTCCTCTCTCTCCTGGTTCAGAGGCAAGCCACCCAAGGACTTCTTCGTCCTCACCCTGGAGGGGGAGCTCAGCACGGCTGGATTGCCGAACACCAGGGGCTGGCTCAGAGGGTTCACCATTTCAGAGTCTGAATCACTGGACTCGCTACCACTGCTGGTGGAGCCCTCGGTCATTTGCAGAGGTGCCTTGCCAGCGGTACCCGCTGGCGGCACCATCCTCGAGGTTAGACCCATGAGAGGTGTACCATTAGCCAGCATTCTACCTCGTGAACCAGCCAGGCCTCCCTTTCCAAGGCCATCAGGCATATCCATTGTCTCTGGGGTTGAGGCTACCTGGCTAAGAATAAGTGGATCTGTCTCTGACTTGTTGTATCTCAGATTCCTTAAGTATGGCCTTTGTGAGCCGGGGGAACCGTTTTCACAACAGGGTTCCTGGCTTGGGAAACACTCTCCTCCCATGCCTCTCTCTCTGCGGTCATATGTGTTCTCAGAAACATAGCCCTGAGACCCGGTCCTGTCCCAGCTCAGGCTTGGACTTGAACTCCTGCTGCTGGGAGACAAGGGAGCGGCCAGGGGGCTGTGACCGCCTGAACCTCTGAACATCTCGTCTATCAGAGAGCTGTGTCGTGGGAGTCTGGGGCTCCCACTCAGATCGAAGCTGAGGTCTGCCGAGTCATCGTCAAGGAACTCCCTGGAAGGGGGCCGGGAGGACTTGGCAGGGTGAGGGGCAGCCCGGGGCCTAGCCTCTATTCGCCTCTCATCATCCCTGGACGGCAGATAAACGCCACTGGTCACGTCAGCCTCATAGTTGTCATTTGTTTGGGACCGGGACGCGTGCTCCCTGAGCAGGTCGGATTCACTGTCTACGTCACTGCAGTCAATGAAAGGAATGGACGCGCTGCTGCCTCGGGCAGCCTCGGATGCTGGACCTGTGCTTGGCTGCGGGGGCCGCGGCCTACTCTGCTGGGGCCTGTCCTTAACGAGCTCCTCGTCCTCCTCCGCCGCCGCCCCGCTGGCCCCGTCTCCCTTCGCGCTCCCGGCCGGGCTCCTGGAGGGGCCGGGGCCGCGCTGCCGCTCGGCGTCCTCGGCCGACGCCGCGGTCACGTCCCCGCCCTGCGGGCAGCTCTGGCCGCCCGGGGGTTCCGAGCCTTCTCCGAGGGTCAGGCTGACACTCTGCTGAGCCTGGGGGAAGAAGCGGGGCGGGGAAGGCGGGGTAAGAGAAAGGGATGGGGGGAGATAGAAAAGGGAGCCGTTAGACCCCAGCGCACAGAGAGCGCGCGCAAGACGCGGCGTCTAATTGAATAGCAGAGCCTTGCGCATCAAGTGGCCAAGGAGTGCTCGAGAAAAGCCTGCCCTCCGCTCTTGGAACGAAGCGCCCTGGCACTAAGCGGGCCCTCCCAGGGGTGTCTTGCCAGGTTCCAGAACGTTCTTTCAGGGTCCCCAGCAGCCCAAGTGAGGCAGGGCCTTGGCCATTCCAGGACCCGGGGTCTCCTCTTGGGTCTCCCGCGTTTTCTTTGTAACCAGAGCGCCCATCTCGCCCACAGGGGGCTTCCCGAGTTTGTGTGGGGGCAGGGGGTGGAGGAAAAGGCACCCCCCCCGCAGGGCCCCCAAAAGCCAGTTGACACGGATTTCAGACAAATGACAGAAACTGCCTTTGTTTCGATGCCCAAGGGTAGGAGTGGGCTGGGCACGGCTCTCTTTGGAGTTCCACAATGAAATCGCCTTCGTGTTCTTCCCCAACAAAGCTCTTATTCTCCTGTAGAGAAAACCCTGAGAGCACACCCAGAGACCAGCTCCGGGGCAAACGCGCTCTGGCCACCCTCAGAGCAAGAGTGATAATGGGTTCTGCTGCCAACTGCGGGCGCTGCCCTGTAACGCGAGCCCTGGGAACTGGCGGCCCGGTCCTCTGCCAGCGCGAGGTTCTGACCTTGGCACCGAAGGGGAAGCTACACCCATCCCTCGAGAACTAGGTTCCTGACGCCCAGCCACAGCTGGAGGAGGAGGGTGGGCTTGGCTCTTGGGGGGCCTCCAAGCCTTACGCTGAGCTCAGGCCAACAGAGGAACATCCTTGGGGGCAAGGGCATGGGAGGGAGAGGGGCAGGGATACAGGCCCGGGTCTCGGAGCCAGGCTTCCGAGGTGAGGAGCACAGAGCCTGAGTCTTGCCAAGGTCAGAGCACAGAGCTCGACTCCCCAGAAAACACCCCTGAAGGGTGAAGGATGGAAAACGCAAAAGCAGACCCGGCCCTCAGCAGAGGACGTCTGGGGGCAAACAGATCCATGAGAGCGGCTGACAGCATCACTAACTTGTTTCGGCACTTCTGAATTTGGCTCTGCCGGCTGTGTAGCAAGGCTTCTGATGGAATGGATCTTGCTGTGTTTCCTGGGAGAAATCACACCAGACAGACCAAGTTAGATGACTTGTGTTTTTTTGTTGTTGTTGATTAAAAAAAAACAAAAACCAAACAGCACTAGGTACTCACTCAATAGGGACACCTAAAGTAGTCTAGATAAATCCCTGGAAATAGACCCAGTCACCCCTTATGCAACACTTGTAGGACCCAGGGGTTGCTTCAACCTTGAGTTAATTCTCAGCATCCCTAGCTTCCGCTGGATCGGTCCAGCTGGTTGGGAGCACCAGCTACTGAACGTTCACTCTCTAGTTACAGGAAATGTCACCGGAAGGGAGAAGGTGGCTGGACTTGCCAAAGCTCTGAATTGCAAGCGAAAGTGTGACAATACGAAATCAATTTGTGTGCCCTGGGTAATGATTTTCTAGATCAGTTCTGTAATAGAGGCCACTGGCACTAATTGGCTGACTCCTTCACAGCCCTCGGTTCAGAGAAAAGGCCCTGCCCCAGGAATGAATTTATAGACTCCACAGTAGAAGAAGCTGGATTTCAGTGCTACCAACACCTCCCCTTTAATCTGTTCTTTCCCTTAGCGTGTGTCAGGCCCCACCTTCCCAGGGAGCAAGCATTAGAAACTTTTAAGGCATTCACACATGTGTGCTAAGCCACTCAGTTATGTCTGACTCTGCGACTCCACGGACTGTAGCCGGCCAGGCTCCTCTGTCCATGGGATTCTCCAGGTAAGGATACCGGAGTGGGTTGTCATTTCCTTCTCCAGAGGATCTTCCCAATGCAGGGATCGAACCCAAGTCTCTTATGTCGCCTGCATTGGCAGGCGGGTTCTTTATCACTAGTGCCGCCTAGGAAGCCCATTCACACACATGAAACAAGAGAGATTAAATTCCAATGTCTATCCAGTTTTTCTTTAAAATACTCCAAAGTAACACACCAAAGCTCTGGAGCACCCATGTTGTGAGTCAGAGAGAGCAGGGCCCCTTCTCATATGATCCCCAAAAGACTAATTTGAATCATTTGAAAAAATGATGGGGTTTGTTACATCTAGATAAACAGGCAAATAACCTCTGAACATTACATCTCTGGATACGGGGAGGAGAAACAAGCCCAGTTCTGAATCACAACAAATATACAAGGATGGTCACAGCAGCATGTTTGTTTCTGCCAAACAAAACACTCAACAACCTGAATGTTTGTCAACAGGGAATCAGATAAATTAAAAATAATACTTTCATGATACCATAAAATGATGAACCCAGATCTCAAACTCAGGGTAGGGTTTAAGGAGCAAGATACACAATTATGTACAATGTAATACTGCTTATACAAATGAAAAAGGACATCCCCAGGGCAATTCTGCCTATTCTCTTGGGTGCATGAATATTTCTATTAGAAGTAACATGAATCAGGTATTTTTGCCTCTGGGGAAGGGAGGAGGGACATAATGAAGGCTGTTGGTTAAAGGGGGGTTTTCACTACATCCATAACCACAACAGCTATGAATAAAAGAGGAAATAAAACCCGAGGAACAAAATATTAAAAATGTTACTAATTCTTAGTAGTAGGAACATGCGTGCTTGCTGTATTCTCTGTGCTTTATTATACTTTTAAAATACGTTCAAGTGAAAAAATAAAAACATTAAAACACTTGTAATTCTCCAGGTAGGAACACCGGAGTGGGTAGCCATTCCCTTTCTCCAGGGGACCTTTCAGATCCAGGGATTGAACCCAGGTCTCCTGCATTGCAGGCAGATTCGTCACTGTCTGAGCCGCCAGGAAAGCTCTGTGACTGAGTAGTCCTTGGTAAACCAACATTTCGCCCGTTAACCCTTTTCTTTTATCCCTTTAGGCAGAACAATGCTGAAGGGCGATGCGCTCTGGAGCTGGGTGACCAGGGCTCGCTCGCCAGCTCTGAGATCTGGGCGAATTACTCAGTATCTTTGAGCTAATGTGTCTCAGTCTTTAAAAAGGGGAGAAAATAGCACCAACCTCGCAGAGAGGGTACAAAGACTCCATGAGTTCATATGTCTAGGGGACTTGGGAAAGGCCTGGCACATAACCAGAGCTACCAGCACACAATGATCATTGTGAGCTAACAATTATTAAGAGCTAACAATAATAATAAATCCTGTTTCTCTTCAATCAAACTTCGAGTTAAAAAGTTTATAGAACTCTACTCAGTACAGTACTCTGTAATGACCTGCAATGTAGATTCTATGGGAGTAGGATACAAAAAGAGGGGATATATGTATAACTGGGTCATTTTGCTGTACATCAGAAACTAACACAACACTGTAAACAACAATACTTCCAATAAAAATGAATTAAATAAAACTAAAGAAAAGGGGTTGCAACTTTTCCAATTAAAAAAGATTTCATAGAAATCCTGTCAGCTCAAATCCCCGAATATCTAAGGACTCAAGGGTGAGTAGGTCTTCACAGCGCTGTATCCCCTCCGTAAGCTCCGGTTCTTCCTCCATCCCTGCCCCCTGCCCCCTGCCTCTCACCCTGGAGTGAGGGTCTGCAGGTCTTCTTAACACTGATCAGGCAGGGCCCACCCGTGGCCCACCCAGAACAACTCCTCTCAAATCAGAAGCAGCACTGACATTTCTCTTACCTTTCAAACTGCACTTTCTTATGTCCGCCTTCTTTAACATAGTCGAGAACCTGCTTCTGAGTCCGACCACTACGACGAAGACCGCGGGCGGGAAGGGAGAAGACAGCAAGGCGTTCTCAGGTCACACTCGGCCCAGCCCTCCGCCACCTCTGCTTCCCCTCCTCCCGTAAGCAGTCCCAGGAGAACCTGTGCCCTGGTGTCCCTTCTCCCTCTCGATACATCCCTTATCAATATAACAGAAAAGAAGTCCGACCACCCAACAATTCTGTGTTTGGCTATGAAGCAACCATCCCAAGAGCCGGTATACTTCATGAAAGTGAGATAGTTCTAGTCACTGTACACCTCAATGCCTAGGATGGAATCTGACATGCAGTAGACACTCAAAGATCTGCTTAAAGACTGAGAGAGAAACTGAACCAATGATGGGCAGGTCTACACAGCCTTTGGTGAAGATACGGCAAAATTTTTTTTAAGTTGCTTTTTTTTTTTCATGTGGACCATTTTTAAAGTCTTTATTGAATTTGTTACAATATTACTTGTGTTATGTTTTAGTATTTTGGCTAGTGAGGCATTTGTGATCTTAGCCCCCAGATCAGGAATCCACACCCACTGCATTAGAAGGCGAAGTCTCAACCACTGGACCGCCAGGGAATTTCCTCTAGAGCAAATGTTAACAAGGCATGTTCACCTTTACCTAGAAAGGGAATTCTTTGTGCATGAGCGTGTTCCACTGGGAGTTGACCATAGCTGGGTAGACAGCCTCGTGGCTATCTAAGATTCAAATAGAACACAACAAGGATCTACCAGGAGCCTTCTAGGATGACCAAGTAAACACCCTATCTGCCAAGTTGTCTTGGAAGATAACTTGAAAGTCTTGGGGAAATGAATCCATGATAAACGTGGAGATGGAAAGCATAATCCTTACCTGAACCGAAACGATGACCCTCGGCTAAAAAGAACGGGTTTGGGCTTTGGCTTGGGCTCTTCGAAAAGTCTAAAAAAAGCATGATGTTCAACACAGATTTTCCAGAAGGACTTGCAAAAATCCCGACTGGCCATTAGGAATTCCAAGGTATCCTGGTATGAGCTCTAAAAAGAGAAGAGAGCATCGTGGGTTTTGCCATTCCCACAGATGTTCAGTTGAAAAACAGAAAAGGGGGCAGAAAACAAATCTATCCCATAAAGTTTCAGTGGTGTATTTCATTATGGTGTGACCATAAATCCACATACTGAGTAAAATACAGGTGTTCCTTATGATGCTATATTGTCATCTTTCAACCATTTTCTTCCCCACTTAATTCCTCAAAGAAACAAACAGAAAATGGGATACTCAGCAGAAATCATAACGTGCCCTTTGACTGAATTCATAAACAGATTCTGTTCACTTGGCTTACATTTCCTTCTTTTAAAAAAAAACCCAAGTACTGAAATTCCTTTTATGCCTCCTTAAAAGAATCGAAACAGTTTTTCTTTCCATTCTCTCTCTCACGGTTCATGCCAACTTTGAATATTGCGCTTAAGCCTTTCCTGCATTAAACAGCATAGGATCCCAGCCTCCAGGTGGCCCCAGGGACTGTATAGGAAATGAACTTTTTTTTTTTTTTCTGGAGCACAAAAGTATCAGTCAAGGCTGAAAAACTCATGTCCTTTGATTTGAGAAAGGGGATATGGTAATTTTCTGCTCCTAGACTGAATGCTCCCAATTTAAGTGGCCAGCTTATGTAAACAAAGGTTACTACAGTCCTTAACATTCCCAGCAGTCCCAGCTATTTTGGGGGAATCTCACAGCTCTATTTCAACTTACAGACAAGTCAGGCTGCAGGACACAATCTTTTGGACTCAAAACACATTTTCTCATACAAAACAACTTCCAAGGGTGCCTGCTTCCCAGGGCAGGTCATAAAAACCCAGTTCATCCATACTGTATCCAAAGTACTACAAGCCTTCTTGTTCAGTTGTTCAGTCACGTCCAATTCTTTGCGACCCCCATGGACTGCAGCATGCCAGGCTTCCCTGTCATTCACTATCTCCCGGAGTCTGCTCAAACTCATGTCCATTGAGTCAATGACGTCATCCAAATACCTCATTCTCTGTCGACCCCCTCCTCCTCCTGCCCTCAATCTTTCCCAGCATCAGGGTCTTTTCCAATGAGTCAGCTCTTCGCATCAGGTGGCCAAAGTATTGGAGTTTCAGTTTCAACATCAGTCCTTCCAATGAACACCCAGGACTGATCTCCTTTCGGAGGGACTGGTTGGATCTCCTTGCAGTCCAAGGGACTCACAAGAGTCTTCTCCAACACCACAGTTCAAAAGCATCAATTCTTCAGTGCTCAGCTTTCTTTATAGTCCAACTCTCACATCCATACATGACTACTGGAAAAACCATAGCCTTGACTAGACGGACCTTTGCTGTCCAAGGGACTATAAGCCTAGACTGCCATTTATAATCTTTTTCCTCCCATGGGAATAAAGTACTCCAGTTCTGGTTGGGGACATCAGTGCTCTGTCATCACCTCCTCCATCCCTATTTATGGTGGAAGGAGAAGATGCTTTCTTCCTTCTTTGACCCAGAGCCACGTGAGTGACATCTATAGAGGGCCGGCGGGCAGCCTGTGCAGGAGGGGCTGGGTCAGCTCCTGAGAATGCACTGTCAGGGGTGAGGGGCCCCAGGATGGGCAGGGACAGGACTGGAACACTGCAGAATGCTGAGCAGGATCTGGGGGTGGCCAAGGCTGGAGACACAGCAACTACAGAGTGGGGTTGGGGCGGGGGTTGTTGGATGTGCACACATCTGGGCACAGGGAAGTGACCCCTCCCAGGGACACATCTGTGCCCTCGTCCGCTGATGACAGCTGTGCAGTGGCTCAGCCTTCAGACACACGGTGCAGACCAGCAGACACCTGGAGGGCTGCTGGCCGCGGGGTCCACCTGCGCCCTAGTGAGACCCACTCCACCCCGAGGTGACTCAGGTTCACTTGAGGAACATTAAGTCCTGTCCCCACGGAGGTTCCTGAGAGGCACTTACGTTCACATCCGGGCGGAGCTTGATGAGAAAGCGCTTCCTCTTGAAGCTCAGCTTCCGCACCTTTGCCCAGTTGAAGGCGTTGATCTTCGTAAAACCCTGAGAAGAGAGGCATCAGCTGGTGAGCCGGGAACTGCACGATCAGCAACACGGGAGCTGGTCTGCTTTGCTCCCGGGGATCAGAAGGGACGGCTGATGTGACTGTTCATAAGAATGCCTCCTGCTGCAGAATTCCAGGGCTCTGTGGCTGTAAGTGATAACCCACTCCCTTCCTAGATTCATTGTTTCGCACTAACTCTATGATCTGACTTTCATACTTAAGTCTGCCTCCAGGGAGGGGAGAGGCTGGCCAAGCAGCTGATAAAGAAAGATAAATAAGAATAATAACCACAACAACCACCATAATTATTAGCGACCATCACTGAGCGAGTGCCAGGCATGGTCCTAAGTCCTTTACAGGCCTTTTCTTGTGAAACCTTACATGAAAGCCCAGGGAGCTGGGTTTATCTTCATTCTACCCATGTGGAAGTCGCAGCATGGCAAGATTTTAATTTGTTCTAAATCAGATGGTCCCTGCAGCAGAATGAGATTCCCAGGCGCGTGCCTAAACCAGGAGCCACAGAAGCAACACAGCAGTTAGTGATCACACTTTGTCCACACTGCTCTGGCCCCTGGACCCGGTGGGCTTCCCACAGCATGGGACAGAGGGAGACCCCCGCCTCGGGTGTCTCTGATACCAGAGAACAGTCTCTGGGAGGGACGCATGTATCCTCATCTTTGATCACCAGGTGGGATGTGGGAGACCCACAGAGGGGAGCCCCCATATTCCAGCTCCCATCTGTCCCGTCCTCTCAGCTAAAATTAGAAGTCCTCCAGCCTACTGGAACACCAGGCCCATTTGTTTAAATTGGCTGGAATGAAGCAATTAGGCACTGGCAGGAAGATTAATTCCAAGACACAGTCCTTGTACATGATTACATTACTGAGCAGTTCTCCACATTTCAAGTGTCTCAAACACAATCAAAGCAAATTAATTCAATTGTGAGGCATGTCTTTTCCTGCTCCCCCCCATCTTTAGAAATGTTAAAGGGTTTTAATTTTGAAATGGGATGCTAGGACTGACAACTACATTGTTTTATTGTCATTTTTTTTTTTTCCTCATCAGGGACTCCTAGATTATGTCTGTGGGTCAAGAACTGTTGGGGACAGTCACCTCCTCAAACGCCACACTGCTCTTAAAATACTGCTTCCTAGTGTCTCAGAGGAAACTGACTTCAACTTCTCTTGGGACATGAACCTGTGGTGGTTAGTGTCCACTGTAAACGTCTGAGGGCATCCCTGGTAGCTCAGAGGTAAAGAACCCACCTGCAGTGTGGGAAACCCAGGCTCAATCCCTGGGGTCACAAGATCCCCTGGAGAAGGGAATGGCTACCCACTCTAGTATTCTTGCCCGGAGAAGCTCATAGACAGAGGAGCCTGGCGGGCTACAGTCCATGGAGCTGCAAAGAGCCGGACACAACTGAGCAACTAACACACAGATGCAGATAAACATCTGACACAGGAGAGACAGAATCCCTGGTTATTTTGGTAAAATACAAAGGGGGAGATGGAACACAATCCAGCAGAGATCAAAAAAGTTTTAGGTCATGCATGAGTTTACACATTCGAAACAGGGTGAAATCTGACCCTACTTTATGAGACAAGGCAGGTGCTTTCTTCATATCCCTTTGAAACCGAAGCACGGATTATCCACTCTTGTTTAAGAGAGAAGCCTTGAGGGATGCGTTGTCTAGGACAGGGAATCTAGTCAATATTTTCTAACAACTTTAAATGGAGTAAAATTTATAAAATATTCAATCATTGTGTTGTGCACCTGGAAGCAACATAATACTGCAAATTGATCCTAAAAAAAGAAAATTAAAAATTCTTCAATTAAAAAAAGTCTTGGGGAAAAGCTTTGAGGTAGTACATATGTTCCCTGTCTTGATTTCATAGGACATACAAGGTAAAGAACCTACCCATATTGAAGAATGGCACGTTTTAAATGGTTGTGTTTAATTGCATGTCAATACTACTTCAATGATATTATTAAGAAAAACAGATGCAGTCATCAATAACAGTACAGAAGCACTGTGATCAAGGCTGCACACACTTCAGGGCGCAGAGTATTATGTCCATTCATAAAACACAAGGGTCCAAGAACAGTATGTGTCTTGCTGCAAAATTACAGAAGGACATGGACACAACTTCTAGGAATTCATAAAACTGCTGTATCTTCTAAGTTAGGGAAATGTGAAACCACAAACAAGCTAACTTGGGTAAAATCCAAGTCAATTAAAAAAAAAACCCAAATTAGATTAAAAAAATCAGATGAATAATATGGGCAAGTGTGAAAAAGGTGCCAATTTTGTGGATCTGAAATCTCGATTCTATTCAACTATGTTCTAAGTTAGGTTCACAGAGAAATACAGAGAATCTGTGATCCTACACAGTCAACGTGCTAAGTTACCTCGGTTTGTGTCCACTTCTTTGCAACTCTGCACCGGAGCCTGCTAGGCTCCTCTTTCCATGAGATTCTCCAGGAAAGAATACTGACTGGGTTGCCATGTCCTCCTCCAGGGGATCTTCCCAACCCAGGGATCAAACCCATGTCTCTTACATCGCCTGCACCGGCAGGGGGTTTCTTTACCATTTGGGAAGCCCCTAAAGTCACTCAACACAAAATCTGCAAGCACGGGTTCCCCAAGCTGAGCAAGGGCAACAGAAATCCAATCTGTAAGTCTGAGGATGGAAAGAAACAGAAAACCCAGGAGCGAGGTTTGTCTGTTCCCTTCGTCACCTAAAAATAATCATTGGAGATCTCAGCCTGGACCACCCAACATGGAATCAGAGTTGAAGGGTCAACTCTTATCTCTCCATCACCAAGGGAACCGAGCTGGTTCTAAACGCTCTTACCTGAAACACTAGAATCCCCGTGTTGGCCACGGCCAGGTTGATCTTCGTGCCTTCCCGGTCCTTGGCCGGGTGCAATCGGATGCCATACATCTCCAGTCTGCGGGCAATCTCTAGGAGCTGGAAATCCGATTCTGCTGGTGTTTGTCCACTGACAATACAAAAAAATCAAGAGAAAGGCCAGGAGATTTGAACTCCCTGTGTCTATGAACTCAAGATTAAGCACCTTCTCCTGGCAAATAAAAAGGCGTTTCATCACTAACAATGGGGCTACCTGATCAGACGACACCCAGCCTCCAGTTCATTATAACTCAAAGTCAAGCCAGTGGAACAAAAGCTGTATTGCTTGTGTAACACAAAACCCCCAAAGTCTATCTCATACTCGGCCCGCTTTTTAGAATCTCAAAGAGTTTCCTTTAAGGTCATATGAAAGCAAAACACCATCATGCTGAAACAAGTTTCTAGTCACTGAACAATAGCCCTAAATTTGCAAAGTTCAAGGCAATACTCTATCAAAGGCAACTATCAACCAGGACTCGAGTGCTTTCCTTGAAACGCAGTAACAAAAATGGAAGGCACAGAGAATAGTTGAAGATATTTTATTGATCAAAGGAAAGAAACCAAACTGGAGGTGGAATAAAGGTTCCCCATTGCCACACTATTCTTATATTGTCCCTAGTTCACGATGTCCCCTTCCTGATTTCCTGGTACTTGGGTCTTACACTCTTTCTCTTACTCAAAAGCACAGGGTCCTAAAGTGCCAGTGTTACTCTCGTCTCACAAAAAAGCAAGGAAGGAGTCCAGGGGTTTGGTCTTGAGTGGGCAACCTGCATCTCTGAGAGTCCGGAATAAGTAACAACACTGACCAAGTCTCTGGGCCCTCCTCCCTCACTCTGCATATTTCTTCCCAATACTTACTCTGTGTGTGTGTACAGGTACTTAGTGAATGTTAGAGGACAGAGAGAAACAGCTCAAAGGAAGCAACAAAGGAGACTTACATGTGGTTATGGTGAAATTCCACGATTTTGTCTTCTAGCGCATCTTGCTGAGGTATGTACTTATTTTTTGCTAAATGCTCTCTGTCCGACGCCTCATCAAAATCCCCAATCTCAGCTACAAAGAAAGAGAGAAAGAAAAACCAGCCACATATGATTACTACTTCACAGTTTGTTACATTCCCAGTGGACTGTTCCCCAGCAAGTAAACCGGAAAAAGCAGCCGCGAACATAAGGCGATCCCAGCTGGCGGGTATCATAAGGGCGAGATGTGAGAAGCTGTGGACGGGAGGACAGATTTAACAGCTCTGCCAATGTAAGATGACAGTTCCCACTTTTTCTCATCTCTACCCGTCGGAAAGAACACTTCAGAGTCATTCATCTTTGGCCATGCATGTTCCTGGTTTTCTTTCCTCCCCACCCAACTAGGGGTTGCTTCTACTTTAGGCAGTAAATTCTAAACAAGAGGATCAAAACATTCTGACTTCTAAATAAGCCCCAGAATTTCAGGACTTGACAAAATCAACTTTGGAAACGCGCATATAACAATTAGTGCAAACCCTACATGCTTTATCATGTAGAGAAAAGATGATTGTAAATAGGGGTAAAAGTACATAATGGGCTTCCCAGCTGGCTCAGTGGTAAAGAATCCACCTGCCAATGCAGGAGACATAAGAGATGTGGGTTTGATCCCTGGGTCAGGAAGATCTCTTGGAGAAGGAAATGGCAACCCACTCCCATGGGAAACTCTCACTGGGAAATCCCATGGACAGAGTAGCCTGGCAGGCTACAGTCCATGGGGTCGCAAAAGAGTTGGATGCAACTAAACAACAACAAAAGGTACTTAATCTAACTTGGTAAAAAAATATATAGCTCTTAAATTTTGTGTAGTCTCATTGTCAGAAATGACCCAAAAGACTGCAAATTGTTACAAAATTTTCATCACCAAGAAAGAGGGTATAACCTCATGTAACCCCAACACAGTCCCCTAACTGCTCTAACCTGGAAAATTAAAGGATAGAAATTGAAAGTAATCATTGTTCCTCTAACAACACTACCTCCAGCTCAGCTTATAGCAATTCAGTACAGATGGGAGTGTGCCTTATCGTATAGTCTGTGTAACAAGATTAATAAAATGAGCAGAGCCCAGCTGTTTAGAGGAAAAGCAAGTAAACCGTTGCTATGAAACCCACCTTGCACTTCGTCTTGTGAAGCAGCTTGTCACACTTTGGGCAATGCAACCCAGTAATCACGCAGGATATGCCCTATATGTTGCTATAATTCACAGCCCCTGAGAATATTTGCTTTGCATCCAACAGTGCCAACTCGCCTGGCACCAGCTGGGCCACTGGAACAATCAATCACTCCCTAGCTTCCGACTACTATGGCAAAATCAATATTATTTCCTAACTGCCCTTTCTTAACAAATTTCCTCCTCCCTAAGTTGCCACTTTCTATCACAAAGGACAGCATGGAAGTGGGGGGACCTCCCCACCACACTGCCACCACTCACTGGTGGCCTTGATGATGTCGGCACTGTCTTTTCTGAAATCCCTTCTATCTTGGCTCAAAAAAGCCAAGTTTATCTCATCATTCATGGTAACAGTGTTCTATCAAGTCCCTACAAAATATCAAATTAGTGAATACTAAACCATCATTCCTGGGTGGCTCAGCTGGTAAAGAATCCGCCTGCAATGTGAGAGACCTGCATTCAATCTCTGGGTTGGGAAAGATCCCCTGGAGAAGGAAAAGGCTACCCACACCAGTATTCTGGCCTGGAGAGTTCCATGGACTGTATAATCCATGGGGTCGCAAAGAGTCGGACACAACTGAGCGACTTTCACTTTCAAACCGTCATTCCCAGGGGAAATAGGAGCTTCGGTTCCTCCAACAATCTTGAAACATTTTCATCAAATAGCTGAGTTTTCTGTATGCTTCTGTAGAAATACATCCTCTTTTACACACTGTGTTGATTCATTAACATCGAACCCACAGCCAACAGCACTGTTAACTCATGCCGGGATGAAGCACATCTGCACCCATGTTTGTTTCTCCACAAACATGTGTGCGTGTGTGCTCAGCCACTGTCATGTCTGACTCTTTAGGATCTCATGGACTGTAGCTTGCCAGGCTCCATTGTCCAAGGAATTTTCCAGGCAAGAATACTTGAGTGGGATGTCATTTCCTCCTCCAGGGGATCTTCCCAACCCAGGGATCGTACCCGCATCCCCTGCAATGGCAAGCAGATTCTTTATCACTGAGCCACCTGGGAAGCCCTTACTTCTCCGTAAGGCACGTCAGAACCCATATCTCTAACGTCTCCTGCCTTGGCAGGTGGGTTCTTTAGCACTAATGCCACCTGGGAAGCCCCCATATCAGCTGATGTATATACTGAATTCCTTATCAGTCTACTTTCAGCAAAAAATAAAAATAACAACTCCAGATCTTGTGATTTTCCTGAACTCTCATGAGGATGTGCTTGGGCTAACTTGTGCTTGTACAGTCCTCAGACTGGATGCACATACAACCTGCTGAAATGCACCCCAGCGGGCATCCACGCTACACGAGAGGTCCTCTTATAAACAGGCCCACCTAGCGTTTGAATCGTCGCTTCACCAGCTTGTCCTGCTGGTCTACTCAGAGTCGATTAGGGAAAATTAAAAGTCCGAAGTTTATACAGGGGGTATCTAAGACCAGTAACAAAGGAACTAATGAAAAATACGCCTGAAAGATGACAGTGAATTCAAATAAACAGAGGAAAATTTTTAAAAATTGGATTGTGTATATAGGAAAAGATGAGATGAAAATACAGCTCAGTAGAGATAATTTTCCATCAGCATTAACATCACTTTCTGCAGAAAGGAGATGAACTGACCTTTTTTACCATACTGATTGTGCAAATAATTATCAATCATTTAAATGAACACACCATTCACAAGAGATTCTCCTTCTATGATATGATGTATGGTTTAGTTGCTAAGTTGTGTCAGACTTTCGCAACCCCCGGGACTGTAGCCTGCCAGCTCCTCTGTCCATGAGATTACCCAGGCAAGAATACTGGAGTGGGTTGCCCTTTTCTTCTCCAGGGGATCTTCCCAAGCCAGGGATCTAACATGGGTCTCTGGCATTGCAGGTGGATTTTTTACCAACTGTGTCACCAGGAAAGCCCAATACAATGCATGGGATGCTCAAAAATACAGAAATAGGGCTTTTTAAGTATAAGAATATTGAAAGTGTCACAAAACTGCATATCAGAGAGAATGAAAATAGCAGGAGTACTTCTGAACCCACCTATTTCATCTCCTGTGGAGAATTCAAGATTCAGAGGATTTTTGAGCCGTTGTTTATGTCTGGGGGTGAAGGGTCCATTGGAGCAAGCACATGGCTTTCTGGACTTCAGTGGCCCTCCACGTACCATGTGCGTGGTTTACTCTAACAACAGACTTTAAAAAGGATGGGGCATAAGAGAAAGTGGGTACAAGACTAAATGGCATCAGAAATGGGTGAGTAAATTTCTCTTCTCTCACCAAAAGCCCAGGGTTGGAGACATTTCCTGAAGTGGCTGTTCCAATAAGGAAGTTTTATTTCAAAATTTCCCATTGCTTAGAAAGGGAGGGATGCAGGTGAGTGAGAACAAAGAAAGGTGGATGTGTTTATTGAACTCCTAGCGTATTCTGAATATTGATGCTATCGTTTCATTTTCACAGCTATAGGAAACAGCTTCTATTAGTCCCCTGTTTCAAAGGAAAGAGAAGTGAGGGACTCTGTAACTTGCAGGCTGATCAATCAACTAATAGAAACAAGAACTGCCTGATTCAAAACATTGCTCACTCTACTGTTACTGTAAGAAGAGGGAAGACCAAACAAATGAAAGGGAAAAGTTAGGTAACTGTCTGCACCAAAGTGTCCTCAGTTTAAATGGGGAAAACAGCACTGAGCTCATGGGGGTTGTTACGAAAATTAAATGAGATAATACACAGAACTGGAACATCGTAAAGTCTAATAAAGATTACTTTTTTTTCAAATTAATAAGAAAACACCCATCTATTAAATTTGGTAGATATTCAACAATGCCCATGCACAAAAAGGGCTTCTCTGATAGCTCAGTTGGTAAAGAATCCACCTGCAAAGCAGGAGACCCCAGTTCGATTCCTGAGTTGGGAAGACCCGCTGGAGAAGAAATAGGCTACCCACTCCAGTATTCTTGGGCTTCCTTTGTGGCTCAGCTGGTAAAGAATCTGCTTGCAATGTGGGAGACCTGGGTTCAATCCCTGGGTTGGGAAGATCCCCTGGAGAAGGAAAAGGCTACCCACTCCAGTATTCTGGTCTGGAGAATTCCATGGACTGTATATATAGTCCATGGGGTCGCAAAGAGTCAGATACGACTAAGCAACTTTCACTTTCATGCACACACAAAAAAGATAAGCATGGTTTCTACAAACACCTTGTCATTTTGGACTAAAGTAGTTCCTTGACTACTAAGAGTGACCCTTCCTACAAACCTGTGGAGTCTTGTTAACTGGGCATCTATGTGGACAGGCTGGGCCTGATTACATGGGATTTCTTTGTATACAGTGGAAATTTTAAAATAGTATGACAGCATTTATATACACAAAGTGTTTATATATGTTGACCCTGGTCTATGTACATAATATCCTTCCTGAAACATAATGTGTGTATTTCAAGTAACTTCTGCCTTACCCAGAGGGAAAAAAAATGCCTGTGAGTAGTAAGTAGGTGAGTAGTCAGTAAGCCTTAGAAGGAGCACAATCTAATTATCCTTTATTTAGTGTAAGAAAGCTAAAATCTCTACTTCAAGCATCACTTGGATTCTATCCAGGGTCATGTGTCTTGCTTTACTGAACTCTTGAGCAGAGTACAGGAAGGGAAAATCTTTGACAGTTTTATGTCTTATGTCTGAAGGATAAAATGCCATATTCAATAATGAATATTAAATCCAAGAACAGGACAGAACTAGTTTTGTCTACTTGGCCACCGCCCATTCAACTGAATTCGAGTCAGCCGAGTTTTCAACAATCGCATCTTCAATCTTGAAAAGCGTGGGCAACCACCCGGACACAGAATTCCTGGGTCACCGTTTGGGGGTGGGGGGGGTGGTGAAAGTGTTAGTCGCTCAGCCAAGTCTGACTCTTGGCAATCCCATGGACTGTAGCCCACCAGACTCCATGGAATTCTCCAGGCAAAAATACTGGAGTGGATTGCCATTCCCTTCTCCAGGGGATCTTCCTGATGCAGGGATAGAACTCAGGTCTCCTGCACTGCAGGCAGATTCTTTACCGTCAGAGAAGCCCATGGAAGGACAGGAGTATTAAGTGATGTTAAGAGTGCTGTTTTCCATCCTCTGGCTTTTGTGCTAATGCAACATAAGATGAAAATATTGTTTTTAGTAGATGTCATCGCCCCCCCACCGCCCCCACCAAGCAGATCGCTGTGTATTTCCCACACGCTTCCTGAAGGAGATCAAAAGCACTTACACTGTACAATGTGTGAGATCAGGAGGGCAGCGCTGGTGTCATTACACGTCAGCCTGCCTTGAGCCAGGTCCTGCTTCACCTGCAGCGCAAACAGGTACCTGTGAACACAGAGAGACAGGCGTCATACACAAAGAGGTGGGCGTCAAGCAAAAAGGGTATCGAGTTTTCGCAGCAAAGTCAGGCTCAAACCGTGGCAACTTGCTTTTACAGTGAGGACTTGGTGAAAGGTATATAAACCAAAGAACAAGAAAGTCTGCACCAGGAATTCCTGGTGCTACTGGCTGCAATGTAAATAGTCACGTCTCCCTAAAAACACTGGGAGACATATGCTGCAATCTTCACACAATGAGTAATGCACTTTATTTTATATGGAGAGATACAGCCATAAAAATTAAAACTATAACTTACCACCCTATATATTTCTGTGGGGTATAGCACACATTTAAACTTTTCTCACAGGTCAGACAAATATACCAAAAAATGGCTCTGTGGCTCGGACAATAGCAGTAAGTTATTATGGTTAGGAAAAGTCTTGCTGATGGAATTGCAAACACAAGAGTGTCTTTTTTGTGGTGGAACAGTCACTCAGCTTCTTCCATAAGTCTCAGCTGCCAGATGTGTAAAAATCCATTTAAAAATTCTTTTCTTTATGTGGTAGAATAAAGCAAGTAAACATTTTTAGTGGAAGAGAAAATTGGATTTATAAATCAAAGAAATTAAGTAAAACCAGGGTGATGTTAAAATTGACTTGAGAATATCAATACGAACTCATAGATTTGTAGGAAGATTATCTGCTAGTTTGGGGCTTCTCTGTGGCTCAGACAGTAAAGAATTCACCTGCAATGCCGAAGACCTGGGTTTCATCCCTGGGTTGGGAAGATCCCCTGGAGGAGGGCATGGCAACCCACTCCAGGATTCTTGCCTGGAGAATCCCATGGACAGAGGAGCCTGGCGGGCTACAGTCCGTGGGGTCGCAAAGAGTTGGACATGACTGAGCACAGTTCCTTCCTTCCTTGCTATTTTTGTCCACTGTCGAGAAGCCGTGTCACCTTGCAGCAAGCCTCAGCAGCTAGATTCTGGCTCTCACACAATTACCATTTGAAGGATAGAAAGGTAGGTCCTTGGAGAAACGGTAGATTCCAGGCACGGAGTAAGGAAAGGTACAGAGTGAACGTGGAATATCTAGCTATGCCAGAGGGCAAACAGCTTGCAAATATAAACGGGCTGTATTAAAAGGGGGAAAAAATCTGGAAGGGGTGTCCACTGGCCAACATTGTGACAACTTGAACAGCAACATGAAGGATTAAAGTGAATCAAAACACATGGAACTAATGAAATTTCATGAGTACATTATAATTCTCAGGATAAAAAAAAGAGAGAAAGCAGGAAAAATGAACTGTATTACCATCTGAGGAGTCTATTAAAGCACTCTGTGCTAAAAGTTGGTGATAGTGAAAGTTGCTCAGTTGTATCGACTCTTTGAGACCCCATGGACTATACAATCCATGGAATTCTCCAGACCAGAACACTGGAGTGGGTAGCCTGAACTTCTCCAGGGGATTTTCCCAACCCAGGGATCTAACCCAGGTCTCCTGCATTGCAGGCGGATTCTTTACCAACTGAGTTATCAGGAAAACAAGGAAGCCCAATATCAATATCAAGGAAGCCCAATAAAAACTGGTAATCCAAGGCAAAAAACTGGGCATGTAATCCGTCTCTCCATTAGGAAGAGGATTTCATGATATACAGATAGGTGGCTCCAGTGGTAAAGAACCTGCCTGCCAATGCAGGAGACCTAAGAGATGTGAGTTCGATCCCTGGGCTGGGGACATTCTCTGGAGGAGGACATGGCAATCCACTCCAAAATTCTTGCCTGGAGAACACAGAGGAGGCTGGTGGGCTACAGCCCACTGGGTCGCAAAAAGTCAGACACAATTGAAGTGATTTAGCATGCATAGATAATCCAGCTAGATGAGGCAAAATTCTGCTTTACAGAAGAACACCAACAAATAACACAACAAAAGTAACAATCATAAAACACTCATCCTACGGCCTCTAAAGAAATTATTGACTCTGGCAAGGATTGTTACTTGGTGTAAAAACCACTTAGGAGTTTGGACATTTGAATGGAGACAAGCTCACAAGACTTCCCTTCAGAAGGGAAAGGTCAGAATGCTACCCCCTAACTCAGTGATCAATCTCAGCATCACTAATGAAATAGGAAGCACACGACATCACTTACCAGGGGATTCTAGTCAAGAATGTTCAACATACCTCTCAAGCTTTTAGAACTGAGGTCTAGTTCACAGGGAATATAGAAGACAAGAATAAGTTAAACAGGAAGCAATCAGACAAACTCAGGAGGTAGGTTATCTCACAGTACAGCTGGTCCAGATTTTTTTCAACAAGATGGTATCATGAAGAAAAAGAGATTCTGCTAGATTAAAAGAGGTTCAAAGGCCATAACAACCAGTTGCAATGTGGGGTCCTATAGCGAATCTCACTTTAGATGAGCAGATATAAATGACATCTGGGCGACAAAGGGGGATATTTGACTACAGCCAGGGTATTAAATGAGATGAAAAGTACATGTATATACACAGAAAACAAATCAGAACGGCTCTCCCTGAGGTGCTAGCAATGCTCAGCTCTGGGCAACAGGAACATGGTAGTTTTATCTTCTTAGTCACATTTACCTAGATATTCTAACTTTCTACACTGTACATGGATTACTTTTGTAACAACAAAAGGGTCTTTTTAATTTTTTAAAAAAGGGCTTTTAGCAAGACTAACCACAGAGGTGTCGTGAAGAATTAAATGACATAAGACATGGAAAGCACAGTGACTAGAATAAAAGCATTCAATACAAATTAGCAATTTTTAAAAACTGAATAAAAATGAATCCCCTTTAAGTCATTTGCGTGCATGCTAAATCGCTTCAGTCATGTCTGAGTCTGTGGAACCCTATGGACCGTAGCCCACCAGGCTCCTCAGTCCATGGGATTCTCCAGGCAAGAATACTGAAGTGGGTTGCCATGCCCTCCTTCCAGGGGATCTTTCTGACCCAGGGATCGAACCTGCATCCCTTGAAGTCTCCTGTGTTGGCAAGTGGGTTCTTTACCACTAGCACCACCTAAGTCATTTAGGACCAGGATTAAGAACTAAAGAACTCCACAGGCATTTCATAACCAGAAAAAACAAACACCCAAAGGTCTACCAGGTGACAACAGCTGACCTTTCCCCAATCCCCCATAATGTTCATTCATTCATTCTCTTTCTCTGTCTCTCTCCCTGGGAAGTCAAAGCAGAGTAAAACAGAGCATATAAAAACAGTCACAACATCAGCACACAGGTTTACACGGGAAGAGGTGGCCCAAACTATCTCTCTGGACGAGGCTATGGCTATTGTTTTTTGAAGCCAACACTTCTTAGAACTACAGGCTCTAATTCTTACCTGTGTAGTTAATTTTCAGGTAAGTAGGAAGAACGTGTGTTTTAAAAGCATGACATTCCGAATGTAACCAGCTATCAGTTTAAACACAGGGCTCTGTGGTCCAGAGACAGAACTCAGGATTCAGGGCCTCTGGGGAGGGTTTCTTGTGGGTGTTGAGAGGGTGTGGGGTTCTGAAGGCTCCCCTCTTTCATTAGAGGGCACAGCCTGAGCTGAAGGCTGCGGGAGGAACCTGTCACTCCCTGATTATGCTGACTCTTCCTGTCCTCAGGCCCTTGTAATCCCACTGGGCACCGCGTCATTCTGTGGTAATGACAGCTGCTGCAGGGCTAACATCAGAAATTCAGCAGCACTTTCTGCCCCATAAACTGAAGCAATTCCAACCGAATTTGCACGAAGTGCTCAGAGCAGAATCAACTGTCCTTGGCAGAAGGGTGGGCATGTGAGTGGGGAGGTGACGACAGTGGTGGGGCCAGAGGGCTGTCACTTCCAGGGCCCTCAGGGGAGGAAGTCACACCCCTTGGAAGCCATGCTTTAAACACGTCTGTTTCCATTTACTTCATTTGGGAGCTCTTCATCTTTCTGCCACTTACTCAAATGTACATGCTAGTGTTCCAGCCAGCCAAAGACAATACCTCAGCAGACCTGCAAGGCAGCGAACTCTGATAGGTGCCCTCCGCTTAGAAGAACACAGCCAAGGGACTCCTTGGCTGTCCAGTGGTTAAGGCTCCGCTTCCACTGCACAGGGCGGGGGTTTGATCCCTGGTCGGGGAACTAAGATCCTGAGTGTCACGTAGTGGAGCTAAACTGCCTCCCCCCAAAAACACAGCCAAGTAGAAACTGGATCCTACTTACGATGCAATGCTCAGAGAGTACTATGTCTGACCTCACCAGCACAGCCAAGTAATTCCCAGCTGGGCCAGAAGAAAGCCTGGTAATTTCTTTTTCAAGACCCCTCCTAAGTGGTTTAAAATCTGCACTGAGGAGTCAGTACTTAGCTCCTTCCAGATGCTTGAGCCCTGGTGTCAGGAGAGAGATCCAGCGAGAATGTAGCCCAGTAAGTAGAGAGGAATTCAGGCTCTTCTTTAACAGCGAGGTGCAATTCAATCTCTGATCTATACAGACGGGGAGCTGAAAGCTATTCCTGGAGGCCTGAAGAATTAGCTCCAGCTCGAGTGCACTTCAAGTCTGCTCAACTGCAGGCCCATTTCTGTCTGTCTCACGCTCATCCACGTGTCCCTCGCCTGAAGCGCTGTCCATACAGGTCTTCTCCCAGATCCTCCTTCCCTCACCATCTGCCATGGAAAACTGCCTGGAGTCTCAACGGTCACATTACTAGATTTCTGCTTAAACAGGACTCTGCAAGTGTGGGTGTCAACCCCTTGGATCTGGGGAGGTCGCCTTCCCGTCACATCTTGCAGCAAAGCAGAAAGTGCTGCGGAGCTTCTAGGCTTCCGATCAAGCTTATCAACCCTGAGCCAAAGGAATTCTCTTGTCAGGAAAGACTTCTAAGATGTTAGTTAACTCTGGGAGTCAGAAAATGGCGATAACAAAACCCCAAAACTGCTTGTAGCAGTTGAGGAATTTATCAGATTGGTCAGAGCAGCTGTCAAGATACCAGGAACATACACAGGGCTGACTGGTCACAAGTTGTATGGAATTTTATAACCAGGGCCAGAAGAGTAGAAAACTCCCAAGTCTCTAGAGATGATGATTCACAAAAACTGAAAAGGATTGCAAAGTAGAATGGGGAGAAAGATGCGGGGAGTGGGGGTTGGGGGGGAGGGGGCGGGATTTAATGCTGCCAACTCCCTAGGCAGGATGAAGGCCCAGTGAGATGCAGTAGGAAAAAGCCCACTGGCAACCAACAGCTGGACTCGCCTTTAGATTCATTTCAATGTTCTGAGCTCCGAGCAACGCACGTTCCAACAACAGGAAAACCAGGCTCAGAAACTGACACACTAGCCCTGTAACGACACGGCGTGAAGATGCTACTGGGGTCGGCCCCTCTGGCCTGGAACTTGGGGCGGCAGGGTGCAACCCCAACTGCTTCTCCTTCACATGCAGCGTCCCAGCCACGTGGGTCCCAGAAGGCTGATGGTTTCTACAGGTCCTGATCATGTAACTGCTTCTTTCAAGGGATGGAAGTGGAGGAAAACAACCAGTGGAGACTCATCCAGAACACAATGGGCTTCCCTCGTGGTCCAGCCGTTAAGAGTCCGCCTGCCTATACGGGGAACACGGGTTCGATTCCTGCTCCAGGAAGATTCCACCTGCCGAGAGGTGGTGGGAACAACTCTACTGAGCTCATGCTCTAGAGCCTGGGAGCCGTGATGAGAGAAGTCCGAGTGCCTTAGAGCCCATGAGCTGCAACTACTGAGCCTGTGCGCCTAGAGCCTGTGCTCTGCAACAAGAGAAGTCGCCACAATGAGAAGCAGGGTTCTGCAACCAAGAGTAGCCCCTGCTTGCCGCGAGGAGAGAAAACCTGTGTGCAGCAGTGAAGGCCCAGCCATAAATAAACAACATACAAAGCCATGGGAAGGGGCTTCCTGGAATCGCACGTTCGGGTACCCAGTGCCCCTCCTGATGCAGCCCTGGGATGCTCGGCAGGAACCTCCCACATCACCTGGCAGCACCAGACTCTCGACTCTCCACCCTCCCCATCCTCTACCTTCCCTCCACCTGTCCCCATTCTAGTTATCACCCACCTGGTCACTTAAGTCCAAAACCTAAGCACTCCCTCCACTTCCAACCCCTCACAAGCTCAGAATGACCCCACTTCCAACACGTGTTCCACATCCATGTGTCTTCTCCATTCCCACTCATACCACCTCCTCTGCCACCATCATCCTGGCCTGGGTAGCTGCCGTTTCTTCTTGTCATCCTCCCCTCGGTATCCACGGCGACTGATCTCTCTCAACAGTACTTATCATCTGGCCTCTGTCCCACCTCAATGCACTTCACTCTCAATGTGCCTGCCCCAAGAGCCCTCTTTTCGGTTTTTGAACATTAGGTGCTTGTTGTGATCTTGGGCACTGCCTAACTGTCCTTCCACCTGGAAAGCTTGTCCTCTGAAAATGACCGACAGATCCTTTCTGCTTTCTCAGCCCCAGCATCCCAGATCCAACACTGTAAAGTCATCAGAAGTCAAGTCATCACCAGTCTCCTTCTATCACTTCATCTACTCCATCACCTAAGGGTTCTTCCCATTATCTGATATCTTTCATGTCTGTTTAATTACTGTGTCTGGTCCCATTTGAGTCAGGCCTGACTTTTCACCAGTACGTGCCCCGTCCCTGGGACAAGGCATTCACACCGTGTACATTTCATCACTATTGTTGATTGACTGCCTTCACGCAGCTGATAAATCATGGTCAACCACCCAAGAGTGTGTGCTCTGTACCATGGGATGAGAAAGATGTGAGCACCTTCACTGGGAACAGCTAAAGCTGAAAGGCAAGCTTGGCAACAATCTGGATGGTCAGACTAGCGTACTTGGTCTTGAAAGGGAGGCATTTTATCTTCACGTGTTCCCACCAGGCTCTGCTCTCTTTTAGAAAAGCACGTGTCTTCCTGCAAATTATAAAATTGGTAATGTAATAGTAGGGGTGAGGATGATGGCATCCCTACTGGGTTCAGAAAATGACTTCCTTCGTGGTTCAGATGGTAAAGAATCTGCCTACAACACAGGAGACCCAGGTTTGATCCCTCGGTCGGGAAGATCCCCTGGAGAAGGGCATGGCTACCCACTCCAGTATTCTTGCCTGGAGAATCCCATGGACAGAGGAGCCCCTGGAAGTAGGCGGGCTACTAGAAGTCCATGGGGTCACAAAGACTTGGACACAACTGAGTGACTAAGACTTGCACTTGCCTGCTACTGGGTTCCCGGCGCTCTGTGTATATTAGCACTTATCCTCAAAACAACCCTGGCAAAGCAAGCATTGCAGTCACATTGACCCGGCAATGAACAGAGGTGCAGGGGGATTAAGTAACTGGCTGGCCACACAGCTACCGAGGGCAGGGCTTGGCCACGCCTTCGAAGAAACGGACGGTTCACAGCCATTCGGCCACCGCAGCAACGGACAGAAACTCTGAGTTCACACCTTGGCTCCACAGAAGAGATTCATTTCCCAAAACTGCCTTGTGATGTGACAGACAGGAGGAGAAATATGACAGTAACAGATTACAGGACAGGACGCTTCATAGCACAGCTTTTAAGAAATCAGCTTGCGGGGAAACTGCGGCACTTTCTTTCTTCCCATGCTTGTAAACACAACTGGGAGGGAACAAGGTTAAACCGTCTGGCACAAGACCAGATGCTGGTCAAGGCAACATCGTGCAAGTGTTTTATCCGTCAACTTAGAACATTCACTGTCTCTGCGGCACCCACAGCAACACACACCCCATTTCCAAACCACTCACCTGGTGAGTTCTTCTTGGAGTTGAGTGTGGTCAGGTGGAAAGAATTTCACCACAAACTTGACGACGACATGCTTCGGCCCTGGGGGGGGGGGGGCAGCAAAGCATTTATTGATTTGTCTTGCAAATGCCATTAAAGAAAAAGAGACAAGAGGTGATATTATACACCAGATAAGTGAGTCTCATTCCAAGCTGCTACAAGGAGTTCTGCTGACATGCCAGTCACTTAATTAGTCGGTTAAGTTTGGTTATTATTCACATTTTCATATTGTGGGGAGACAGACAGCTTTTTAATTGAAAAAACAAACAAAAAACCCCTCATGTCATGTGGCATCTGTTTTCTGACCAGGGACTGAACCCAGGCCCCCTTCATTGGAAGTACGGATTTTCAACCACTGGACTGCCAAGGAAGTCCAGATACCTGGTTTTTAAAAATACCGTGACAAGGGTATTACACTGAGGCACCAAACATTTTCTCTGGAGACAAACTATATCCAGATTTTAAAAGCAGACATGTTCTTCAAAAACTTTTCTGTCTGCTTTAATCCAAATATGGGCTTCCCAGATGGCACTAGTGGTAAAGAATCTGCCTTCTAGTGCAGGAGATGCAGGTTCGATCCCTGGGTCAGGAAGATCCCCTGGAGGAGGGCATGGCAACCCACTCCATTATTCTTGCCTGGAAAATCCCATGGACAGAGGAGCCTGACAGGCTACAGTCCATGGGGTCACAAAGAATGGGACATGACTGAAGCAACTTAGCAGGCATGTACATTAGGCCCAAATATAGGTTTTAGACAGCTTAAAGAAAACATAATGAAGAAGTAAATCAGTTATGTAATTTATTATTTCTACCTCCAAGCCACAGCAGCTAATGTGTTCATAGCTGTTGGTCAAAGACTTCGTTAAGTGTCTGGTATACCATTTTATTAATAAGGCCCAACAAAATTAAGCAGCAGATCTGGAAGGGGGTGGGCAGGGTGAGACTGGGAATGAGACAGGGAACTTCACAGAATTAAAACAGAATATCAAATCAATGATAAAATAATCATTTGTCGCCTGAGTCAGAGTTTATTTTGCTGTTTAAGCCACAATGCAAAAGCAATCTTACAGGTTCTTCCATTTAGAATAACAGCAATAAGTTTATGTTCTATCAAATACAAGGTATTACGATGAAATCCAAATCTTAACAGCAGTTGTATAAAAGCAGAAAATGTCTTTCTGATCCGCCTTTCACTATCACAAAAAATAGATGTGGTGTTATCATTTCTATGATAACACGTTCAAATGTAAAGAAAACGAAAATGATGTATCATAAGGTGATGGCAAGTGATCCATACAAAACGGAAGGAAAGCAACAAGGCACATGAGAACCGAAGCCAAGAGAAGCCAGGCTTCTTTCAGCTAACCGCTCCCAAAATTAACAGAAATCCTCGTCTGTCAGTTCCGGCTCACGAAATAAAAAGCAAAACGGGAGAGACAGGAACGCCTAGCTAATCCCACGTAGCAATTTTCAGCAGCGGGGATTTACACGAGGCCGCCTGGGTCCTCAGACAATCCGAGGCTAGGCAGACGCTGGTACTCAAAGGAAAACAACGGCCTTGCCACCCAGGGCGAGCCTCAAGCCGCGGAGTGGGAAAGGCGAGCCTCTGCTGAGGCGCTGACCCAAACCACAGCCGCGGCCCTGGCTCGGACGCCTTTCCGCCATTTGCACTTCCCATCCTGGGTTACCTCAAGGACAAATGTCAGCGCTCCCTCCAGCCTTCAGGTCTGGGGGCTTTGCTCAGCAATGTGTCCCGCACCCTGGTCCCTGGCCAGCCGCCCAATAAACGCTGAACTACGGCTGTTTTGTTTTCTGTATTAATAATTGCTTAATTTCAATGACAGAAGATCAACATCAATTTCAATTGCATGAGGGCCCATTTAACACGGTACGCTTGTTTATTACGGTCACATAAACTGCTCTAAGTGGCCTGGTGGGGTTTCTTAATCAGACAAACAGCCGACCCCACGAGGTACTGCGTGTTTCATGCTCAACTAAAGGCACGCAGCCCGGGGACCATCCTCAGGCTTTTGCCTGGTGTCTGGCTGCAGTGAGGGACCAAGTGGGATGAAGTGGAGAACAGAGCTCGTCTCTGAATCTGACCCCTCCGGAGAGAGGGGAGCGCAGTTTGGTGCTGATGCGCAATGAGAGGAAGGGGAAATCCAAGTGTGTCTTTTTCTAACTTCTCTCCTAGACCCTCCTTAATCTTTTCTTCGACAACTCGGTCTAAATGCAGGCCAGACCTCCTCTGTTCTGCTTACCATTCAGACACAGACACACACATTTTTGGGCATCTATTTTTTTTTCCCCCAAATTCCACTTGTATTCTAATTTCACAGGCTTTGAAAAGGCAGTACAGAAATCCTGATGGCAATTTTATGAATAAAATGTTTCCACCTCCCTCCGCAAATGTGACAATAAGAAACACGAGCACAGACAGAAACCAGCTCAATTGCTCTGGGCCTTAATAGCCTGCTTCAATCATTTATCAAAATGACATTTGATTTTTCCAAGCAAGGTTCTGATTACCAAATTACTATATATTAAAATTGCAGAAGATGCATTTGAATAGCATGTAAATTAGTGGATGACAAAACACAATCGTAGGGCAAAAAGAGACACGACTCCAGAGCTTGTTGCCACAGGGCAGCGGACGTCTAGACCAGGAAACCATCTGGCTTACATCTGACATCACTGTTAAACAGGAGGGGCGTATACTTACTTCTAATCTGCTTGACAATAGGTTTTAAGAGATCCAGCCACACCTACAAAGGAAAAAAAAAGACTGAGACACAAATTCTCAATGATGAGACTTCCAAGTATTTTAAGACTTCCCTAGGAGCTGTTCAAAATCAAAATAATTTTGAGGGTTTGAGGTTGTCCGTGCCTTTTTCTCTCTCCAGAATGCTATAACTCAGACTATCTCCCACATTTATAGAAAAGACCTGAATTTTCTAAGAGTATCCCTGAGCTTGAAAATCAAAATCTCTCCGAGACACAAATAGTTCACATGGCTCACTAAGAATTTTCTATTCTCACTGGTACTTTTATCACAGTTCACAGTTTTATTCAGTAAACATTAATACATGATTGCATTAATGGAGTATAAATGGAGTAAAATACACATGCTCTTTAGTGAAACAAAATTCATGTATGTAGACACACCTACAGAACAGCACAGCTTTGAGGGTTATGGAAAGGGAGTATTTATAGAACACACCTTTGCACCAGACACCATCCGTAAGCTATTTTACCTCTCAAAGAAGACCAGAGGATTCCTATTACTCAGGAGAGAAATTTGAGACTTGCAGAGGTTCAATAAATATCCCAGGCCCTCAGCTAGACAGTTGTGTCAGGGCTAGGACTGAAATAGGTCTGTCCAACTTCAAAGTCCAGACTCTTCGCACAGAGTCTCCTGAGCATGCCATCTGAACAGCAAAATTTTAAAAAGAGAGAGGGAAAACAGTTGCCCTTCATAATAAAGTGTAAGCTGACTCTTGAACTTGTGATCCTGTGAAAGGGTTCTACTGAAGCTCATATGTGCATATATGATAAAAACAAAGTTAATGGGCTTAATGGAAGAGGGGTTTTATAAGTAAATACAAAAAAGAGACACACTCCTAAAGAAAACTATGCAAAGAATAACAGGGTAACGACAAAAAAATGCCAATTCTCACCAGAAAATGTCTAAGTTTAGAAGTAATTTACACTGTAAGTGCAAGTTTAGTCAATATCATTTCCACCCACTACATATGCAACTATATGTGCCTGTATGCAGTACATGTGTGCATTTTATAAGCCTGAAGTTGGCAAGGGTGCCAGGAAATGAGCACTGCCTTACTTTATTGGTAGATGTATGAAATGGTACCATGTTTCTGGAGACCAATTAGGGAATGATTATCTAAAGCCTAAAAAGTATTCATAAAGATACTCTTTCATCCAGTAACTTGACTTTTGATGAATATTTGAGAGTGTGGGAAACTGTTTCAGAGGTGAGAAAGTGGGTTATTTCCTCTTTTCTTCTGCCTTTCTACATCACCCATATTACCTTCAATGATCACCAGAATTCTCATAATGAAAAAAGTAAAAATTTTAAGTGTTTACTTATTCAGGTTAATCTTCCCCATCACCTTTACAAATAAATATGTTTTCCTAATGAAATTCTCACTGCTACACTCCCCATCCCTAGCCACTCTGCTACGTGAGAAAAACAATAAAGGCATTAAGTTGCCTTAGGATCATTTCCACTGTCACACTCATAAGACCCAACCTTAAATGAGAGAGAATAACCATTCAAAAGAAGGGTCTTGTGAGATGTATTATTTTCCTCTCAAGAATCTTAAAAGATGGCAAAAAATCCTCATTGACAGATGAAGAAATTGAGATTCGGAGCACAGCTGCCCAGGGTTGGGATTCGAACCCTGTTCTTCAAACCCATTTACTCATTCAACAACACACCACTGTGTCCTTCTGCTGGGTTCTGGGAATGCAATGATAAGAGACCAGTCATGGCCCCTGCTTCACGGAGAGTAGGGTCTAGTGAGAAAGACAGACAGAAACCAAGACTTTCCCAAGAAAAGTAAAGAAATACCTAGGACAAAAGCACTCTGCCAACAAAGGTCCATCTTGTCAAAGCTATGGTTTTTCCAGTGGTCATGTATGGATGTGAGAGTTGGACTGTGAAGGAAGCTGAGCGCTGAAGAACTGATGCTTTTGAACTGTGGTTGAACTGTGGAGAAGACTCTTGAGTGTCTCTTGAAGTGCAAGGAGATCCAACCAGTCCATCCTAAAGGAGATCAGTCCTGGGTGTTCATTGGAAGGACTAATGCTGAAGCGGAAACTCCAATACTTTGGCCACCTGATGCGAAGAGCTGACTCATTTGAAAAGACCCTGAAGCTGGGAAAGATTGAGGGCAGGAGGAAAAGGGGACGACAGAGGATGAGATGGTTGGGCGGCATCACTGACTCAGTGGACGTGAGTTTGGGTAAACTCCGGGAGTTGGTGATGGACAGGGAGGCCTGGCGTGCTGCGGTCCATGAGGTCACAGAGTCAGACACGACTGAGCGACTGCACTGAAGATGAAAGAAACAAGGGGGAAGCCCCAGCTGACTCTGAGCCTCAGGACAGAGAGGCCTGCCTCAATGACAGGCAGGAGGAGCGCTTCCCTGAACATGACATTGTGCTGAGATCTGAGGGGATGAGAGAGGTGAGGAGAAACACCGGTCCAGACGGCTCAACATCATGATGGAGACCAACGTGACCGCAGAACAAGGCTGGTGGGTCAGGAAGGGGCCAGACCCCACCAAAGCCACGTGAAGGCACTTCACTGTTATCCTGAGAACATGGTGAAGACTTTTATAAGTATAGAGCTGATACGATCAGATCGACACTTGAGTCTGGCAATGTGAGAACAGACCAAGGGGTCAGAACAGATGCAGGATACCTGCTGTATTCATCCAGGAAAAAAACGATGGTGTTTAGAATCCGGAGGGGAGAAGCAGTGTTGGGGAGAAGAAGGCAGACTCAAGAAAAACATTAAGAGGTAAAACCCAGTGGGACTTACTGATGGGCTAGATGAGGTGGCCGAGCAGCAGACAATAACCAGAATGACACTGAGATGTCTGCTGTAGGCGTCTGGATGGAGGCTGGTCCATGCTGAGACAGGCATCGTCGGAAGAGGGTCAGGATGGAGGGGTTCTAGACACTTTCATTTTAGGAGGGGCCCTTGGATTTCATGAGGAAGAGACAGCGTGGGAGCGGTGGGACACACACACCCAAAACTCAGAGAAGCTGGGGCAGGAGATCTCCCAACACCTGACTCCAGGAGGACAAGGCGGCCTCATAGAGCCCAGAGGATGAAATGCATCAGCACTGATGACGCGTCTACCAGAGAATGGCCAATGGGAGCAGATGAGGACAGAAGGAACGTAAGGGGAGAGTGGGGTCGCGAAAGCCATGGTGTTTCCAGAAGGAGGAAGAGCAAGAACTGTTGGAGTATCAGACACTGTGGGAACTACAGGATCTGTGGGTCAGTGGACTTGAAGGTGGGTCTGAGAGTCTGGTGGGTGGCGAGGAGACAGGAAGGATGAAAGGTCTTTCCAAGAAGCTTGGCTGTGAAGGAAGAGGCCAGAGACTACGAATGGAAAAGAGAGAGAAGAATCAAATAAAGGCATTGTTTTCTAAATTTTAAATTTTTTAAAATTGGAGGATAACTGCTTTATTGCGTTACGGTACTGTGTTAGCTTCTGCTGTATAATAACACAGATCAGCTATATGCATACACACACACGCACACACATATATATCCCCTCGCTCTTGGACTTCCCTCCCACCCCCGCCCCCATCCCACCCCTCCAGGTCATCATAGAGCAAACTGTGCTGGGCTCCCTGTATCATAGAGCAGCTTCCCATTAGCCGTCTATTTGACACACGGTCGTGTACATATGCCGATGCTTCTCTTGCAGTTTGTCCCCCTCTCTCCTTCCCTCTGTGTCCACAAGTCCATTCTCTGTGTCTGTGTCTCTATTCCTGTTCTACAGATGGGTTCATCAGGACCATTTTTCTAGATTCCGTGTCTAAGCGTTAATAGACGATACTTGCTTTTCCCTTTCTGACTTACTGCACCTCTGCATGACAGACTCTAGGTTCATAAATAAAGGAACTGTTAACTGCTTGTCTTCCACAGGAAAGACCTGCTGTGCCTGAAAAGAGGAGGATTTGAAAAGATGAGCAAGAAGGGATAACCACTTCCCTAAGACACCTGCTGTTGCTGCTGCTGCTAAGTCGCTTCAGTTGTGTCCGACTCTGTGCGACCCCATAGACGGCAGCCCACCAGGCTCCGCCGCCCCTGGGATTCTCCAGGTAAGACACCTGAGATGGTGTGAAAAGACAGCTTGAGAACACAGGGCATCAGGGAGGGAGCAGAAAGGCTAATGGTAGACACATCGGTCTCCACTTCTGCATCGGGAAGACAAGACAGTTCCTCTGATGCCATCTGTCTACTGCTGTAACATCTGAGGGCTGGAGGACTCAGGCAAATGGAGGAACTCTGACACAGCTGTGCTTGCTGGGGTTGAATTAACTGGAGAATTCTAGAAAGGTTTCCCGTGACGGCTGAGCGCCCACTCACAAGCCTGCCAGCCTGTGCTCTTGTGGCCTCCGGGGCTGCCTCAGGGGAACCGTCTCTGAGCTCGTTCACCGTCACCCGTTCTGTCGCAGAATCCGCCTAAACTTCTGCAAACCCGCTCAGGACCCAACAGCTATGCTCTGGCGCTGTAGCTGCCAATTTTATGAATTGTTTTAAAACATCTCTCTTCTGTTTTTGGCATTTCTATGGAATGCATCAAATACAAGCACCCACTTGAGCCAACTGAGCATGTGGCTTTAGAACACGGAGGTCTGGGAACACCAGACTGGCCTGAATGAGCATGTCGGGTAGAGTTCTACAGCGAGGATGCTCCAGGGTCTCAGCAACATCACGGCTAAACCGGCCTCGGTGAGAACACTGGGCCTGCAAGAGCCTCTGTTTATCAATGAGATTGCTATTTGCAGGGCTGAGAGAAAACACCTTGCCCATGGAGGACTTAAACCACTCTAAATGGATGAGCTGGAGGCAGCAAGAAGGAATTTAGGGCTGCTGCTCAACTAGTTAAAAGTACTGAAGCTTGAGATATAGAGAGGGTTCTGCTGTGCTTAGTCGCTCAGTCGTGTCTGACTCTTTGCGACCCCATGGACTACAGCCCGCCAGGCTCCTCTGTCCATGCA